TATTTAAGAAAAGTCAGAAAATTTCAACAGCCTCAGACCAATACTGTTTTAGCTATGTAAAAAAACTATGGGGGGGGGTCCAATTGACCCCCGCCCCCAGCAGGAATAGGGTTAAGGAGAAAAAGTTTGAAGTGAAAACAAGTCAGGTGTTTGTTTACAGTTTAATTTGGGACAGGGAGAATATGCAAAATAATCTTCTGTGATAAGAGAAAATAAACAAAGAAAAGTTCTCATCAATAACATTTTATTAATTTTTTTTAACTGTTACTTCTGTTAATTTCTTTTTAAATAATGAAATGAATTTAGACAATATGATTTGTTTAACAAAAATATTTTACTTCAATTAAAAGCGTAAATAAAACAATATTTCATGGTAAAAAAACATTTTTTACGTATTTTGAATGCTTAGTTTTCTGTAAAAAATGAAGTATTTAGTTGGAAGTTGGCAACTACCGTTGAGTCTAAAATTCTAAATTGCCGTTGAGTCTAAAATTCTAAATTTAATGAAAGTTTTCTAAATCTAATTTCGAATTAAAATTACAATATTCCTCTTAGATTTCTATTTGAAAAATGTAAACCCCCTTGTAGAATTCATTCACGATAGAGCAAACTCTTTCTGAAAACGGAAAAACTAAATTTGCAGGCTTCCTTAGGGTTGTCATGTACAACAAGTGGTACATTTAGTAAAATGTACTACAGTCCTATGTATTTCCAATTTATTTATTTTAGAGAATACAAAAATGGACACATCATCGGATGGGAGTAAAGGTAATATAAAAGAACAGAATTTTAAGGTTTAAAACAATAACACAGAGACACAGAATGCTCTTATACTGCAGAGATAAAAAACAGCATTTAACTTAAAACATTTAAAAATTGTGACTATATACTATCTGCAGGTCTTTTCAAAATGTATTCTGCATTCTTCTCCTTACCTTAAAGTTACCACAGATACTATAATAGATTTCAGTTTGTTATAAAAGTTTTATAACAGCAAATTCGAAATCTTTTAAAAACTTATAAACAGTCTACAATGGAGCCAAAATACTATGAGTTTACTAAAAAATGTGGAAATTCCTTTTATCCAGACTGTCAATAAAGCAATGTGAATTGTTCTCTGATGTCTGCTGTTAAAGCCCAACAAACGAACATATTGTATACCTATCCTGTGTTTTTGGAATCACTAACCGCTGTACGTATCAATTAGATTTTGTAGTCGCCAACTCTCAACCCCAACTCTCAAAAATGTAAATTGTTCTTTAATGGGGTGAAATAATTAGTGTCGAAAGTACTCTTTTAAGATGTAAATGTTTATTTCTTATTTTGTAAGCTATTTTTACATTTAAATTTAAAATTTATGTGAGATTTACTTATTGATTATAGAATGTTTAAGAAGAAAAATAATTGCTTAAAAAATGTAAAGACACTTTTCACAAATTACAACAATCTACAAAGTTGTGAGAAATATGCATCAATATTTGAGATAGGACCAAACTTGATGTGTTGCAAGGTCTTCAAGCGTGGCTTATCTTTACCAAGCAACTTATACTTTTTGTTGCACAGAATTGAATGACTTGAAACCTGCAGAGTGCTTAATTAGAAAACATTTGCCAAAACTTAAAAGAGTTTAACATCATAATGTTTATTTTTATGTAAATAATAATAGTATTGCAGTACATGATCCTGTACTGCCGATGTATGTACAAATGAATGGGCGCATATTAGAAGAAGACGATCAATGGAAAGCTCTTTCAAGGTAGATGAAATGTATGCATATATGTAAATATATGTAAAAAAAAATAAAGATATTAATATTAAAGGGACTGTAAAGGAAAAAATGAAAGGGGGTATAGGCTGAAAGCTAATCACTTCAGCTCTCGATCACGACCCATGAAAGTTATATCTGATGTATCTATCTCGAGGAATTGATATACAACTTTGTCAAATTTATACGAAAATTAATAAATATACAATTGTGTATAAAAGTAGTGGGTTTAAGTAGATCAAATTCAGCAAATATGCAACCAATCTGAAAACGATGATATCCCAGAGAAAGCTAATTGTAACTTAGGTTTACTCCAATTCTAATTTTTTATTTGTTATTTCTATTTTTAATAGATTTAATTCATAATATTATTTATACGTCCGTATTACTTGACCAGAAATTCCACCAATAGCAGTGCAGTAAAGTGGGCACGTGACACAGGCGGAGACACGTGACCAGTATACTGCTCTGTCATTGGTGATAGTTCTGGTCACGTAATTTAAGTTTAAGATTTTTTAAATTTTACATATATGAACTTTCGTATAATTTTAACACAGTTTTATATCAATTTCTCGAGACAGGAACATCAGATAAAACTTTCATGAGTCGCGATCAAAAGCCAAAGTGATTAGCTTTAAGCCTATACCCCCTTTCATTTTTCCTTTACAGTCCGTTTAATAGAAAAAATAGAAGAAATAATAGTATATAGAAATAGTAGAAATAGTAGACAATGTAGACACAGTTATAGAAATGGTAACTCGCGGTCAATTTTCAAAACTTTTTTACTCTGTAATCTGATTTAAACTTGTATTATACATGTCAAGTATGAGATACAAAAATCTTCTTAAAAACTTATTTAGAAGAAATAGTATTTTTACAAAAATGTGATATTTATATAATTACTTCCCGTATCAACGTAAATCCTTTCCAAACTTTTTGTTAGTAAGTTTTCTACGGAAAATATGACCCCAAAAACACCACTAAACTTAATCTGATGACGACAATTTTTCAGATGGGTGAAATTTCAGGAGGACTTAGAGGACGGAGGTCAACGCTGGAGTAAACCATATGTTCCTTCATGGTAAACTATTTTTTTAATATCTGTTGAACTCTACAGGGTTTCCGACACAGAAGTAACCCTTTCTTTTAAGAGTTTCGTTCCCCATTCTCTAAGGTGCACTATACTGATGATTTAGGAAGATATTGTCGTTTTTTTAATCCTGCCAATTTTATTCTTTTGTCACTTTTACAGAGAAACCGTACTTAACAAACTCCAGATAGAAAAACAAGAATATCTTCTTAATCTTTAATCAGTCAAAGGTTTATATGGTACTGTTGTTAATCGGGCATGCATTCTGAAACTGGAGAGTCTCTTATAAGTACAAATAAAGCCCCTGCCCCCTAAACAAACAAGTAACAACTGAAAAGAATTCATTTTATTTATTTTCATTTTTTTAATTAGATGCCATTTACAGACAATTTTGAAAACGCATAATCATATTGAAAATTTGACTTTTCCATACAATGTATTAGTTTGCTTTTTAAAATTTGAAATTTTTAACTGAGACTTAAGATATAAGATATTGTTAAATCTTTTTGGTTATTACCTTCTGTAATTATTTTCAACAATTTAATATTACAAACTTATGGAGATCACGTCTAGAAAATGATATGATGCCTGTAAAACTTGTTTTTTACTAAAGTATTTAAATTGAATGTTTAAAATCTAAAAAAGTGACTAATACAATTTTTATTAACAAAAATGTCATTTTGATTTTTGTTTATAGTACATTCTCTGTAATGCTTGAACTGAAAGAACTGTTTGAGTCTTCAACTGTACTTCTTGGTTCAAATAAACAAACTCTTCAAACTATTCTAGGCAAGATTATTAATTTCGGTAATTACAAAGGAACTAACATATTACAACAAACAATTCTAGGCAAGATTATTAATTTTGGTAATTACAAAGGAACTAANTCAGTTTGCCACCTAAATAACCAATTGGATATTTCAAAACTGAAAGTCTCAACAGTTTAGATTATCAAGGTCTATGACATTGTTAAAAAAAATATGGGGACTGAAAAATTGGAATTTGTGGCAAGAGTTCAGTTCCTTTATCATCAATATCTATATATTTATGCATATATTTGAAATTCAGCATTTTTGTTTGTTATTTTAATTGTATCCAAAAATATCCAAATAGCTAAGCTGATGAGGCGGCCCACATTTTTTATATCAATTCATACTTCATCACATCAGGAAACGTTTTTGGCCAGTATAAAATCTTACTTTTCAAGACTAAAGATAGTTTTCATAAATTCCCAAATAATTAGAATTGGAAATGTTTTTTTTTGTTTTGTTTTAAGGATGGCATAAATTGAGAAAGATGTAAATTGCTCATTCATAAACTCTCATGGTGTGCAGAAAAAGTATTTAGCTTTTAAAATAACTTTCAATGTTATTCATTACAGATGAGTTTCTCCAAAGCACAGATTGTTTAACCAACTCTCAAGCCCAGCAAATTCAACAGCTGTTTAGCCAGGTAGAATACAACAGCTGTTTAGCCAAGTAGAATACAACAGCTGTATAGTCAGCAAGAATACAACAACTGTTTAGCCTGGTAGAATACAACAGCTGTATAGCCAAGTAGAATACAACAGCTGTATAGTCAGGTAGAATACAACAGCTGTTTAGCCAGGTAGAATACAACAGCTGTATAGTCA